CACCTATTGCTATATAAAAGATATTTTTCCCTTTAACAAATTCAAGTTATGGGCTACTGAATATGTAATTGGAGATAGTTTTGCTCTACTGAAGTCCTTGGGGTTTGGTATTTCCTAATTTACATTGTTAATTACAGTGTCTTACTTGGAGTTATGATCTGGTAAGCTTGAAGCCTCAGTCATTTTGATYCCTCAGTCATTTTAAAAGGCAAAGAAGAACCAAATGCAGAATCTTTAAGAACAAATAGGATCTTTTGAGTTAGGGCTCAGGGTTGTTAATGGGGAGATTCCCCATACTTATTCTTTGGGCACAAATAGTTCTTTCATGGCCTTTTTGAATGGATCAAAGCAAAACCTGGAGTTTTGAATGGCTTCTTTTTTGTTGAGTCCTTTTATCCCTAACAGTTACTAATGAGCATTCTAGGAAACTCAGTCATGCAGGAAGAGTTTCTTGTACATACTAACTGGGGTATAAACTTTATTTACATATGCTCCTGTATACAGTTTGTGTGTTTCTGTGTATATACACACACTTGAAAGTTTCTGAAATTCTGTGACCTCAAGTCCAGCCTCAGGCTAGCATTCTGTCCCCTTGTCCACTGGGAGATGGAGAATTGGGCTTCCCAAGCTGACTGCACAGATTCAACTGTGGAGCTTCATATTCGTTCTTTTCTAAAAATAAACTTTTAATTCAAGAATAGATTTAACTTTACAGAAAAGTTGTGAAGATGCTACAGAAAACAGTGCCATATATCCCACGACTTGTATAGTATAGCTGTGACAACTCCATGAACAGATATTAGAACATAGACTGTGTTCAGATGTCCTTTGTTTCTATCTGATGTTCCTTGTTCCAATATCTCCTCTGGGAAGCCACCGTTAGACTTGGTCATTTTGTCTTCTTAGCCTCCTCTGGGCTTTGACTTTTCTTGCATCTCTCACTTCCCTTGTTCTTGATACCCTTCACATTTTGAGGAGTATCAGGTAGGATTAACTCCCCCTTACCTGYTGCTGCCCCCCAACTGGGATATATTGATAATTAGATGGGGGTTGTGGATTCTGGAAAAGAAGACCACAGAGATGAAGTGCCTTTGTCCTCACATGGTATCATGGCTGCCTGTTATCAGAGTGGCTCATGTGCTAATCTTGATCACCTGGTTAAGGTAGAGTTTCTCAGGTTTCTGCATAGTAAAGTGACTTTCCCTCTTTTTCATGTTGTACTCTATGCAGTCTATACTTAACCTTGAGAACAGAATACATAAAATGATTTGGAATTCTCTTGTATGAGAGGTTTTTCTTTCTCATTCATTCATTTAGTTTTTTCTTTCTATTAGAAAAATCCATGGATATTTGTTCCATGCGTTCATTTGTAATATAACACTATTTTGTTGCTCAAATTGTCTTGAACTTGGCAAGCCTTGACCACAGGGAGCTCTTTCGCTTGCCTTCTGTGCCCCTTCTRTGCCTCATTGAGTCTTGGTATGGGGACACATCCTTACTTTTTGGCACTACAGTGTGTTCCAGGTTTATCTTGAAAATTTCCTGCTTCAGTCCAAGAATCAGCCATTTTTCCAAGGAGTCCTGGTTCCTTTTATTAAAGCATGTATTAGAAGTTAAAACCTGAGTGCTAGATCATGCTTGTTGTTATTGGGATGTCATTGCTTTGGGACCTTCTTAGCAGACAAAACAGCAAAATTTGTGTGTGTAATACTAACCTGCACATGTACACATAGCTGTAAATACTGATTCTAGATTAAGTAAACATTAGTTTATACCCCTATACTATGAAGAGCAGCATACAGTTTATACTAATYAAGTACACCCTGGTTTAGTTAATAAACTAATTTTAGTTTATAGTTTCTGTAACATTTTCAATTCTAATCCATTATCATGGGGATCATTCTAGCCTTCCCCTTTGTTTGTCTGCAACCTCCCACTCCAACAGCAACAGTGCTAACAACCTGTGAATCTTATTTAAGGCACCCGGGATGCATGCCCTGTGGTTGATGGAAATGCTTATCTGGGGCCTGAGAATCTGATTTTAATAAGTTCTGTACAGGTGGAATTCTCCCATTATAGCATTTGTCACAATTGCCCTTTGACAGCGTTTTATGTCTTTATTTGACAACCTTGTCTTATTATTATCTGCATTCCCTCAAGACAATAAGCTTTGTGTCAGTTGTGCGCTTCATTCTGTCCCCAGTAAGGATGGGTACTTAATAAATATTTGTTGAATGAATGAGTGGGATTACAGAAATAATGAGAAGGAAGAGAAAATAAATATCTGATTTATGGTATCCTTCCTCATGCTAARTGCCTTTCTAGTGGCTTATAAAATTATCATCTGGTTCAGGACTTTGAATTAGGTGGGCTGACATCAGAATCCATGACTTTCTGTTCTGAAGTTTGTGCTGTAGGAAGCCCCTTGTGTTTGCTGTTTTGCACATCCCTAGAGCTCCTACTGGTCTGGATGGAGCTGTGTGGGTGGCCCAGGATGATGTGGGGGGAGAAATGGCAGCACCCATTTGGAGCCTCACCCAGGCCCCATTAGGAAATTGACTCCAATGTGGTTTGGGGAGGGGGATTGTTTTTTCCTGCCCTTTCATGCTCACAATGAAGGTGACATTGATTTACAAGTCAGGGGTTTGGAGCAGGGAAGGGAGGCTTCTATGGGTGGAAAAGATCAATTAAATGATTATCCCAGCTGCCACACACTAATGCTTTTCTTACTGAGTTTCAGAATCAGGAAGCAGAAGGCTACCGCATTTAGCCTTTTACAGGAAATCTAATTGCCAACTTTGTGATGCCAAGTTTTATTAGATTGGGAAGAGTCGATCTCAGCAGCTGGCAGTTTCTGATACTGCAAAAAGCTTTCCACTGGCCACCTGGAATTCTAAATGACCTTCTCTTCCTTTTGGGGAAGTTTTTCAGCTTTTGCTGAAGTTTTATGATGATAATACTTTGGTGGTTTTTATATTTTGGTAGTTTTGATCTGGGCTTTAGGGTATTGGAACTTAAAGCCTGGCAGACAGTCAAAAATATTTACTGAAACAGTAGCAGTGGTGCATGCCTGTAATTCTAATAGCTCAGGAGGCTGAGGCAAGAGGATCGTAAGTTCAAAGCCAGCCTCAGCAATTTAGTAGACCTTAACCAACTTAGTGAGACCCTGTCTCAAATAAATAAATAAATAAATAAATAAATAAATAAATAAATAAATAATTCATTGAGTTCTTATACATGTTCGGCCCTAGGCTAGCGACTGGGGATTGTAGTGGTGAACAAAATAGACTTGTGTTATTTATCCTCCATCCAGAATGTTCTTCCTGTATTTTCATAGTTCTCGAACTGTTGTGTGCCTAAGAATCACAAACAGAGGATATTCAGGCTGCTGGGCTCTGCCTTTGAATTGCTGATTCAGTAGGTCTGGAGCAGGGCCTGAGAACCTGCATTTCAGATAAGTTCCCTAGTGATGCAAATGCTGCTGGTCCAGAAGGACCTTAGCCCTTGGTCTTTGTGTGGTTGTCCCTAGCTTATCAATTGGGTCTTCAATCAAATGTTACCTACTTAGGCTGTTCTTGGTTCCTTTACCACAACATCTCTACACCTGTCATTCTTTCTGGATTACATTTTGTCCATAGCATTTATTATTGTCTGATATTAGTTTGCTTATTATTAGTTTGTTGTTCATTGTCATTTTATCACTCTCCTGCCCATCATCCTCAACAGAACAAAGCCTCATGAAAGCACTTTCTTCTTTACTGTCAGTCCTCTAAATAGAAGAGTACCTGCCACAGTCTGGGCTCAGTAAGTATCTGAATGATTAAATAATTACAACTATTCTGAATCTTATAAAGGATAGGCCTAGGATGCCTCAGGAGAGGACTGAGAGACCAAAGGTGGGGCACAGATACCACAGTGCATCTTCCTTGGAGCAGTTTCTGGAACTGGCCACACTGCCTTTTTAAATCACTGCACACCCGAGTTTTGTCTGCAATGTTGTGAGATTTGTTTGGAGAGCACATTTGGCTACTCTGAGTTTAATTTTTTCTCATAGCTTTTCTATGTTCTGTCCACAATGGAAAAGACCAAAGGCAATTTTGAGCAAATCCCCATTCCATTCAGCAGGGGACTCTTGCACATGGGTGGGTAAACTGCCAGGCCCCTATCTTTGAGTTTGACAGCGTGTGAAGCCTGACATGGGGCCCTTCTAATGACTTTCCTCCTGAAGGCTGCACTGGTCCACTTGTTAAATTCGGAATCCAGCACCCATGCTGATGCCTAATAGCCTTTTCAAAATCTCATCAAAGCTGAATGGAGGCCCACACTCTCTCGTACTTTGTAGGAGGCCTGGGTTGAAACATGCAGATTCCTCTCTCCTTCACTGGCTGTAGAGAAAAATGTAAGGGCAGGTGCTGTCACCCTTCCTTTGCAGAGCATTAGGCACAAGATGAGACACGTGGAGGCACCCCGTGACTGAAAGTGCCAAGGAAGGTTGCCCAAATCCACAAGAGAACTTGAAAGCCATAAGTCCCAGCTCTTGTGTGACCCCTGCAGCCACTGCCCTGCTGACKTGAAGTTTCACAGCCTAGAGCTTCCTTGCCTAGCCTTTGCCAAGAATAGGCCAGGGGCAGCCATCGACTCTGCAGGTTTGTTTGTCTGGGGCCGCCAAAGAAACCAGGATTTATTGCCCCTGAGTGTGTCATGAAAACGTAAGCACCGAAAGTCAGATTATTTTGGAGGCCAAAGAGAATCTGGTGGGGGTGATGGAGATGCAGGAATCGCAGCAGTCTGGAGTCAGGGCAGGGGGCCAGAGGGCCGCCCTGTGGGTTGGGGTAACATAAGCTGCTGCTATTCAGGAGGTGGCCTGTGTAAGAAAATCTGACCACAGCGGGTGCGTGACTTCAGCTAAAATTAACCTTTGAGGCTTCACACGCCTCTGCAGTGCTTTGAACTAGACACCCCCAGAGAAGGCACAGGCTGCTGACTGCGGAGGACCTCGCCACGCTGTGGGTTGAGCCATGCCTATAAGCATCAACGTATGGGTTCCCGCCAGGGATCAAAGTCGGGATTCCTGTGACCATTATAAAGTGGTAAGCAACTGCGCGAGAGGAGGCGTTGGCAGGACCCTGGGGAGAGCCGATGAAGCGATGAAGTTTGTTTGCACTGGGCTTGTGTTTAGAGACAGTTCCCACTCATTTTCTATGCTGGGTGGGACCACAAGCCCTCCAAACAGGTCTTTTCCTCAGCAGAACAATTTGCTGAGCAAACTATCACTTCTCAGTTGCTTTTTGGTCCCTGCATCCTCGTGGGGTGAAGGGCTGAAGGCTGTATTTTTAGAGCAGGTAGAGAAGGCTCTGTCTGTCCATAATTGTTGTTGGCCTGAGAAAATACAATTGTACAGACCCATGGAGGAGCTGACCAGGCCATGTCAGGAGGGTCATGGATGGCAACAGGTGTGGCAGGTTTCAGTCATTTCCTTAATTGGACCTCAGCAGGTGCAAATGGGAGAGAGATGGACTGCTCTGGGGTTGGAGGAGATGTCAGGGATTCTCCGGGAGGGCTTCAGTTGCAGGAAGGATTTGTTTGGAGGCAACTGGAAGAGATTTCCTGTGCAGTGAGGCTCTGGAATGTTCCAGGCAGGGCACCATAGCCCTTTCCTTCCCCTGGCCAGGGCAACCTGATGGCGTCTTTCAGGTTGGAAGGCAGCCTCCTCCGTGGTTTCCTGCTAGCTACGGAGGATCCGTGGGGGAGTTCTCATTCACAGAGCAAAAAGGCAAGGTGCACTTTTCTTACCATAAGCTTGCTTAGCTTKCATATTATGCATGTCACCCAGGGCTAGTGGCAGTCTTGGTGCTTAGTGGGGTGGCACACTGGTTTGATAATGAGGTTGTTCACTTTGATATGTATTTTTTTAATTTTAATATTTATTTTTTTAGTTTTTGGTGAACACAACATGTTTGTTTGTATGTGGTGCTGAGGATCAAACCCGGGCCTCACGCATGCCAGGCGAGCGCGCTACYGCTTGAGCCACATCCCCAGCCCACTTTGATATGTTTTGAGTGGACAGAAAGCCACAGTTTTAAAGGACTTCCTTAGGCTAGTCTTCTTACAAAAATGATGTAGTTCCCCACCCCCCCATCACCGCCATACGGATGTCTAGCCCAGCCTCTCAATAGCCTTCCCATCAGAAGGCAGTGTGGCAGGGCCTCCAGCTCTCGGAGGACCAATCTGCTCCCACTTGCTGAGTGATACCTATATAATTGATCTCTCAGTGACAAGTATAAAACGTTTAAACCTCTAAAGTACTTGCTTACAGAGCAGATATTCTGTGTTGCTCTTTATGAAAAAGGATATGGATGATGTGGGTCCGGATGATGGGAGAAAAATTCCCCTCACGAAGATAGCTTTGACACAGTTTTGAGGACATTCTCCACATGGGCCACTCTGTAGAGTCCTCTGGTTTGTGTTCTTTCGCCACCTCCATCCTATTAAAGGCGTGAGGCTAGCGGGGTATTGAACACAGKTCACCATCGCTTTAGATTTCTAATACTCGTCGGGTAGAGCATGATTAATGGGGGATGTCTTTGTTTTTTTTTTTTTTTTTTTAAACTCCTGGGGTCTAGGCTCATTGCCCTGTGGAGGGGATTTCTTTTGAGGTAGGATGTTAAAAATAGACATTTCAGAAAGAGGCAGCTCTGGTATGTGGTTCTGAGCTTTGATGAACACATCTTGCACGTCTGCATGGGGATTTCCATCCCCTACTGAACCTGGCTGGGGAGACACAGCATTCAGACTCCCCTCAAGAACTGGAGAGTCCCTTCAGTATTGTGCTATAACTTGCTCTTTGTAACCACCTTGTGACATGAAGGGTGACATAAAGGAACTGTGTTGGAATTAACTGGCCTGTAGGACTGACGCTGGTCTGTATCTGACAGATCTGCCCTTGCCTCGCCCATGAAATGGGGAGGACATGGGCCTCTGCCCTGTTTCCCTGGATGGTGGTGAAGCTCAAGTTGGATTGTGTTTGTAAAAGAACTTTATAAATTGTGAGCTCTCGTATGGGAGGCAGAGGCACTTTTGTTGTTGTTAGGACTTTATTATTCTTCTTGAGATGAATCAATCAGGGCTTTCTTCCAGGAGTTTGTAGAATAAATAGTATCTTTGTGCGAATCGTTCTTTTGTGCTCCGGGCCAGGTTGTTCCCTGGGGAGGTGAGACACCGCTTCTTTCCTGGGTACCAGCTTGGTATCTGGAAGTCTTCTTAGTAAAATCCTATTACAAAAATACAAAAYGCAAAATAACCAAGATGCCCCCAAGCTTGGGTGCTCTGACATCTGGGCTGGAGAAGGGCCCGGGGCATAACGGTCACTTTCACTGTGGCCAAGTCTCTTGGCTGTGGAGTTGCTGAGAAAGGAATGAGGCTCCCAAATGGGGCAGGAGAGGGAAGTGCGGTCCAGGGGCAGGACAGCGCCAGCCACTGCTGGGAACCGCCTGCAGTCGGAGTTTTTTAAAGCCTTTGCCACACAACTTTCCCACAAATGCCACAGCAATGTCTCTGCCAGGTCTGGGGCCTCTCTGCCCACTGGGATGCCGCATGGCACGCTGTGCCTGCCTTATAGGCCTCAGCCTTCACCAAGTACTGTGCTGGGCACTCGCAGGTGCTTCAAATTTTGTTCTCGTTTTGTCCTGAACCTGAGTTTGCTCGCCGGCGGTTGTCATTACTGCCATGGCACAGATGGAGACACGGAGCTCCCTGAGAGTGCATGACTTGCCTGGATTTGGATGGAATAACAGGTTGAAGCCAGGATTTGGTCCCAGATCTGACTTCACTTGCTTCATATAACCATGAAGTATCATTTTCTTCTTGTTACTCAAACACAATTTAGGGAAGTGTGTGTTGTTTATGTTTTATAGAATGACTTTAACACAGAGTATTTGCTCACCTAATCAAATGCTTTGGGGGTTTAAATATTTTGTAGTTGACCAACTCAAGGCTAATGCCTTATGGTTCTTGATTTCTGATTGGCACATCATTCATATATATATAAAATCCAGGGTCCTAAGCTTTCCAACTCCTCTTTCTCTAGGTGAAACCAGAGGAGGACCCTAACACCTTGCTCTGGCTGCACCTTCAGTTACAGCCCCTCATAGAAGAAGGGACTGTCTTCGAGTCCTCTCTGGATCTGCTACTCTTATCAAACTGCCTTTGCAGTCTTTATAGAAACCTTTCCCCTGTACTCCAGGGGAAGTCCTTAAACTGCCAGCAGCTGCTCAGGTTTCTTGGGTGAGATGCATCTATAAATAATCACTGTGTAGGCACACAGTTTGCATTGGATGTTGGGAGTTTTAATTGGTTGTGTACACTTATTTAGTCATTCACCTGAGTGATCAGAGTGGCCCTTAAAAAAAAAAAAAAAAAAAAAAAAGAAGGAAAAACTTAACAAAGCCCTTTCGCCATTCAGAACGAAACAAAACCAAAAAACACCCGCCTCCCAGAGTGATTGCATTTCCTCCCTCAACCTCCTGGCGATCTAGCCTGGAAGCAGGCTGGAAATGTAAATGCTGGCCGGGAACTCTTACTCACCATTCCCCGCCAGAGCTGCGTGCCTCCTTGGAGCCTCCAGCCCTGATGGAATGGAACGTGGGTCAGGTGAGTTTGCATCACCCGGGTCAGGCAGAGACAGGGCCAGAGCTGGCAGCTGGGAAGGAAGAGTACCTGAGCAGGGTGGGTTGGTGGAGGAGTGGGGGTGAGGGGCGGGTAGGGAGACCTGTGYAAAGGAGGGATGAGGCCACCCAGAGGGCCTTTCAGCCAGCATTTCTCCAGCAAGTGCCCTGCAAAAAGTACCCTTTGCAGATGTTGCTTCAAAGGGATATTGTGAGCTTACCATCCACCCACTTGGCCCTGGGAATGAACCCTGTCACTGTCATAACTGGTAGTAACTTAACCATGGCTCTGGCTCACTCTCTCCTGTCCTTTAACCCACTGGCAAGCAGAACTTAGCACCTCTTGTGATTTCTGAGAAAGTTTCCACTTACCCTAGAAAGCAAGCAAGATGTAGACTTTATATAAGATTTCCATGGTGGACAGTTTATATTGACACAACTTCAAGGAATGCCCCTCTACCTGTTCCCACCATCAACACAGCCTCTCTGCTTCCCAGTTTTGCTGGCTCCTCCCAGCCTCCCTGAATTCCTTTTTTCTCATGCAAAGCATTTTAGCTCAGTCTTGCCTTCCTAAATTTGCATGCTTATACCAATCACTACACAAAACAGATCTCCTTGTGGAGGGGGAGGGAGCTGACTCAGTTGAAGTTCAACACCAGAATCTTCAAGAAAAAAAAGCCTGGCTGGCACGTGTGAGGCACTGGGTTTGATTCTCAGCACCATATGTAAATAAATTTAAAAAATAAATAAAGGTTTATCAACAACTAAAAAAAAATTTTAAAAAAAAGAAAAAAGCCTGATAGGTTGCACTTGTCCATTTCCATGGTGTAAATCCGCCTACCAAGGGAAAGCCAGGAAAGCCTGATTTCTGTCTACCAAAGGGCCACCCTTGAACTGGGAGCTGGGAAGATGTGCAGTAGTTGATAGATGTGCCTTAGTACAGGCATAATAGATGCAAATAACCTCAAGAGCACAGGCACAGTAAGATGTAATAAAAGTGAGGAATTTTGAGTATTTATTACCAACTTTAAAAATATAACTTAATTGGAAGTTTAAATAATTTAACTTTAATATAATTGCTAGTTAGCCAGCTCCTGAATTTCCTGAGCATTTTACAGTCAACTGTGCTGAGCCAGTACACGCCTGCTCTGGCACACTACTGTATGTGTGTTTGTGGGATTTTTGTAGGGAGGAGAGGTACTGGGGATTGAGCCCAGGAGTGCTCGGTCACTGCTATTTTCCCAGTCCCCCCCCCCCTTTTTTTWAAGGCAGGGTCACACTAAGTTACTGAAGCTGGATTCAGACTTGTGATCCTCCTGCCTCAATCTCTAGAGCAGCTGGGATTACAGGCGTGCCCCCCACCTCTATTTTTCAAAGTAGCATTTTAACATCTACAAACAAGTGGATCCTATAAATATGCTGCTGAA